GAGGAGAGCCACTGGATCGAGGTCCGACCGCCACGGATCGCGACTTCTTGCTGAACGGTGAAAGGAATAAGGAGCTGCTGCGTATAAAAAAAAAAAAAAAAAGGACGAAAGCAATTTGAAAAAGTGAGCATCTGCTTCAGGAAAAATTAAAGAGAGAGGATGCAGACTTTTTACTTAAAAAAAGCAACAAGAGAAGAAAATAGGTGGAAGCAGCAATTTCAGACGACACCCACGAGCCTCGTGACTCGGGGAGGCAAACTATGTCTTTAGGCGGGACAGTCGGCGGCGACGTGGGCCTCACCGGAATTTTCTCAGCCCTCGGTCACAACCTTCCACCGACGAGTTCCAGTTAATCGTCGAGGAGCATCTTCTCCAATCATCTTCTTCAGTCCAGGTAACTACCACGCCTAGTCGTCCAAATTTTTGCGCATAGGAGCAGTAGCCCACGAAGGCCGCCATGGCCGCCCAGCGTGGTTAGAGTTTCGATCAGCAAGCGAGCGTCCTCCGGCTTGGGTGCATGGTTTCCAACATATGCCGAGACATTCGAGTAGTAGCCTCGTGCACTCGTCTGCGGGCTCACAATCCTCATGTTTCTGCCTGACGATCTCGCACAGCGATCGTAACAAACACACATCAGTCATTCGCTGCTGCAAGCTGAGCAGTCCCAGGCCCTAGAGGTGGAAGCCTAATGCATTAAAGGGTCCAGGGTCACATAAGTTGGCAGGCCGTGGGTCTTGAAAGGTAGCAGCAATTTCATATTTCAGTCCAGGAGGGCTCGGGACGACCCGGTAAGTTATTTTGACTATTGGGGTTTTGAAACGAGAGGTCGGGAGAATCCGACGACGCGTGGCATGCGCCTTTGTTTTTCATAGAAAGGACAGAGAGACTCAATGGGGTGTTTCGTACCACAGTTATTTCCAAAGCAAGGATGGAGCGGTACGACTATTTACTGAGGTATCGGGAGAGCCCGACAAAGGCTTTGACATTATATAGTGAGAAGTTGGAGAGGGATCATTCAAAGATTTATTTATGAAGAATTCTGAAAAACTTCAACGCCCGGTTATGCAAAGGAATCGCTCAATGATATGTTCCTTACCCCAGTTGTTTTCTTTAAAAGGAAAGCAGTGATATTTTCGGCTCCAGGTACATAAGCTAGCCTTTTTCTCTATCTAATGATCACGTCCACATGTCATGATAAGTTTCTTTGGCTTATTGCTCGTGAAGAAATATTGATTGTTTCCATATCTTTGGAAAAATGTTTTTGTGATGCTAAGATAAGTGCAGGGTTGGCCTAGAGCCTAGATGCGTGTTTGCAAAGATCGCTGCGGCGGTTCTCGAGCTCGCGGAGCTCAGAGCGCCTAGATGTGCGTTTGCATAGATCGTGCGGTTCTCGAGCTCGCAGAGCCTGGGAGCGCCTATATGCGTGTTTGCAGAGATCGCTGCGGCGGTTCTCGAGCTCGCGGAGCTCAGAGCGCCTAGATGCGTGTTTGCAGAGATCGCTACGGCGGTTCTCGAGCTCGCGGAGCTCAGAGCGACTAGATGCGTGTTTGCAGAGATTGCTGCGGCGGTTCTCGAGCTCGCGGAGCTCAGAGCGCCTAGATGCGTGTTTGCAGAGATCGTTGCGGCTGTTCTCGAGCTCGCGGAGCTCGGGAGCGAGTCTTCGTACTCGTAGCCTAGATGCGTGTTTGAAGAGATTGTTGTGGAAGAGCGAGTCCTCTGACTCATAGCCAATCGATCTGGAGGCCTCGTTGTGGTAGTGCTCGGGCTCGCGGAGCTCGGCGGTGGTCGAGAAAGCCTGCTGAAGACATCGCTCGAGCTCGCAGAGCTCAGCGGTGGCGGTGGTCGAGAAAGCTTGCTGAAGACATCGCTCGAGCTCGCGGAGCTCAGCGGTGGTCGAGAAAGTCTGCTGAAGACATCGCTCGAGCTCGCGGAGCTCAGCGGTGGTCGAGAAAGCCTGCTGAAGACATCGCTCGGGCTCGCGGAGCTCAGCGGTGGTCGAGAAAGCCTGTTGAAGACATCGCTCGAGCTCGCGGAGCTCAGCGGTGGTCGAGAAAGTCTGCTGAAGACATCGCTCGGGCTCGCGGAGCTCAGCAGTGGTCGAGAAAGCCTGCTGAAGACATCACTCGGGCTCGATGAGCTCAGCGATGGTCGAGAAAGCCTGCTGAAGACATCGCTCGAGCTCGCGGAGCTCAGCGGTGGTCCAGAAAGCCTGCTGAAGAGATCACTCGAGCTCAGCGGTGGTCGAGATAGGGCGAAAGCCTATTAAAGACATCGCTCGAGCTCGCGGAGCTCAACGGTGGTCGAGAAAGCCTGCTAAAGACATCGCTCGAGCTCGCGGTGCTCAGCGGTGGTTAAGAAAGCCTGTTGTAGACATCGCTCGAGCTCGCGTAGCTTAGCGGTGGTCGAGAAAGCCTATTGAAGACGGTTCTCAAGCTCGCAGAGCTCGACAATGGCCAAATTTAGGGCAAAAGCTTGTTGGAGTCGTCATTCGAGCTCGTGGAGCTCGTGGAGCTCGGTGGAGGTCGAGATAGCGAAAGCCTGTAGAAGACGTCGCTCAAGCTCGCGGAGCTCGGTGTTGTCCAATTCAAACGATTACCGAGCCTATCCTAGCCCGGCATGAAGTTAAACTCGCCGCCGCATTAGAGCAGGATAGTCGTTGTGTTTATAAGCTCGGCAGTATCGTTGTGCTCGACAGTATCGTTGTGCTTATAAGCTCACCAGTATCGTTGTGTTTATAAGATCGGCAGCGGGTCCTTTAATTTGCAGCTAGATCAAGGGTAATTAGCCCATCGTAGCGGTGTTCGAGCTCGTAGAGCTCGGGAGGCCGTAGATATGGGATTCATTGTTACAACACGAGCAAATAGTGCGAATGTCTAAACGTTTCAACGTGGCAAAACATCGAGCGTGTTACTTGAGGGCCACAAAGGAAATAAAAGTGCAAAGTTATCCTAAGAGCCATAGTTGCATGCAGATGGCTGCATAACTCCGACATGGTAGGTTGTGGGGGCTAGACGAGCCCAGGACCTCCACGTTGTAGTTCTACGATATACACTTAGGCGAGACATGATTGTTCTACTCTTAGACATGTCTTATATTCATAAGCTTGTCTAGAGTGTGGGGGCTAGATGATGTAGCACGAAGAATAACTCGGTGGACCGGCCTTAGCGGTTAGCTCGGATAGGCCGGTCCAAGGAAGTTTAGAGATAATTTATGTGATGCACAGTATTAGTTAAAGATAGTCATGAAAGTTGGTGTATATCTACACAATTATTGAGGAGTATCAGAGTTCTTGTTGGTTGAGGACACTCATTATCTTGGGGAGTAAGTCATTAAACCCTTATAAATAAGGGATCAGGTTCATTTTTTAACCCTAAGCTCTTAAGATTACTCAATATACACGATGAAATATCTGTTTTCTGACTTGAGCGTCGGAGTGTCTACGCCGGGGCCCGCCCCGGCGCTTTGCAGGTCGATCCGGTTCTTGAAGACAAAGGTGATTGAGATGTCCGAACACTCACGCAATCCAGATGAGGCGGTTCGACCGGCAATTTCTGGTTACTATTAACCAGAAAACAAATCCGATGATTTTGATGGTGGTAATTATAGGTCACTGACTTATATCTATTCCTATTAGGATTTTTGAAATTATAAAATAGGAATGATTTCGTGAGGGTTAATTACTCTTTAGATGTGCATGTAAGTTAGTTATTGTAGATAATCCATAGTTAAAATCTTCACTGTAGTCTTCTACTATAAAATAATTAACTAACTTAAAACTATAAATATATTTTAAAAGTCATCGCATTTTGTATGTGTTGTCGATTTTTCATATATAATTTATTAGTTAATTATCTCTTGACGAGCTTTGTATTAAGTTAATTATCTCTTGACGAACTTTGATTTGACATCCATATTGCATATAAAATAAATAGTTATATTTTATTTTTATAATAAAAAATAAAGTATCTAATAATATTAATTAAAAATAATAAAATTATTTATCAACTAAGTAAGTTTATCTATAAAACATTATATAATATAAGTTAGAAAAATTATTATAATATAAAATTAATAAGTCGTACAAAGTGAACAATGTTGTTTTAAATATATATAATAATGTAATATTTTAAAAGGAATTTTAAAGTTTAAAAGAAGATTTCTCGCTCCTTATATTTTTTGTATATATATTTTAATTCATAATCTTATGTGTCTAATTTGGTGCTTTGTAATCCTTTATTCCATTTGTTGTGCTTTCGTAGCAGTATCTGGATTTCTACCTATACCAATTATAACTTTTAAAATAAAAAAATGCATAATTTAAATTATAAATATATTTTAAAAGTTAACATTTTTTTGTATTTTTCATACATGATATATCAAATTAAATAATCTTTTTTTGATGACATTCGATTTGATAAACAATTTTTATTTTTTGTTATAAAAATTAAACATCTGTAAATACGAATTAAAAATAATATAATCAGAAATAAATAAAAGTGATTTTCTATATATTCATTGAATTAGAAAATTATTATGATATAAAATAGATAAATCCTACAAGCGAAAAATATCACTTTAAATATAAATAGTTATACAACTTTTCTTAAATGCATTTAAAAATATATTTTTTGAATTTAATTTAATTATTATTATTATTATTTTTTATATAGCATTCGTGCAATCCACAAGTGTTTTGCTACTATTATTAAATAGGAAAATACAATAATTAAAAAAAAAAGAGAAAATTAAAAAAACAATTTTCTTCATGACAATTATTTTTGATAGTTTTTAATTTATTTTCTTATTTTATTTTCCCACACACGCAATGTGTGTGGCGATTGTTGAAAGTCGTCAAGAACGCATAAAATTAAAATCTCTAAACACCGGCTTCTTGTTTGAAGTTCAACCCAATTTTCCCCTCTCTCTCTCTCTCTCTCACACACACACACACAGTCCTTGAAGAAGAAAAGAGAAGATTAAAGCTCGTTAGAGTAGCAATTATGGGAGTTCCTGCCTTTTACCGGTGGCTGGCCGATCGGTACCCGCTGTGTATTGTGGACGTGGTGGAGGAAGAGCCGAGAACGAACGAAAATGGCGTGCCTCTACCCGTCGACGTATCAAGACCAAACCCCAATGGAATTGAGTTCGACAATCTTTATCTGGACATGAATGGAATCATCCATCCGTGTTTTCACCCGGAAGGCAAGGTAACTTACGTTTTCTGTTTCATTTGTTTATACCTTTGATTTATTTGGTTACATTGGGAAGCAGAGTGCTGCGTAGTCTATTCATCTTGGGTTGTATGGTAGCCTGATGACTAATAAATAGCTGAGATTTGACAATGGCTTCTGGCTTTTAACCGGGGACAAAAGCAAATAATTTCTTGATAATATGGAAAATAAGATTAGAAATTCACGAAGTGGAAGTTCACTGAGAAAAAGAGTGCTGTGTGGCCGAACTTATATCGTACATTTGCTTTGGAATTTTTAGTTTATGATGTGACTGGGATGAATTTGTTTGTGGCGGGGCCTTGTTAATGCTTCTATAGTTAGTTATCTTGATTGTTGACTACAGAATTTGTGTAAAGGTAAACAAGAATTGGGGAACTTGAACTGGCTACTGTGACAAAATGCTGGATATTGGGATCATGGTTTGGATGCTAAATGCACAAGTTGATTTAGTCATTTTTTATATCTTTGTCGTGGGTTACTTTCTTGGTGAAGAGATAGTGCACACTGCACAGGAAGCACCCACAGAATCAGCATAGCTATTATATAACTTTTTCCCTAAATGTTTGCCCAGGCTGAGGATTTAGAATTATAGTAACCTTGGATGTATTTGTTGTAGTACCCAAATCGATTTATGGATGTATTTGTTGTAGTATCCAAATCAATTTAGTTTATAACAATATTTGGCTCTATAATCATTTAATTTGAGATGCTATGGCACTTGAATTTGATTTGCCATATGACAAAACTGATTACGCAATTGATTCTGTTTTTATCATTTATTTATGAGCCATCTGAGTTATTTGCTGGATATGAGATGTTAAATGGAATTCGTTTAGTGGAAAGGTTCTACCTCCTAGCTCTTGCATGGCATTGGCATTTTTTGTGGGTAAGTATTACCATGGAATAATGTCTCCTCTCTTTACTGCAGTCTGCACCCGCCACTTATGACGACGTATTTAAATCTATCTTTGATTACATTGACCATCTGGTGTCATTGGTTCGTCCAAGAAAGCTCCTTTATATGGCCATTGGTACGCTCTGCTTAAATTAAATTTCAACAGGTATGGCCTCAACTTAGCATAACGCTCCCCTCTCTTCCACAGATGGGGTGGCTCCTAGGGCTAAAATGAACCAGCAAAGATCTCGTCGTTTCAGGGCTGCTAAGGATGCTGCAGCCGCTGTATGTATTCTGTGTATCTGAATGAATTGAACCTAGTGTATGATGTTATTTTTGGCAGTCCAAATTAGTAATGGAAAAACCCCTCGTGTCAGGAAGCTGAAGAAGAAAGTTTGAGGAGAGACTTCGAAATGCAGGGTGAAAAACTATTGCCTAAAGAAAAGACTGAGACATCCGATTCCAATGTGATCACCCCTGGCACTCCATTTATGGCAGTACTATCTGTTGCTCTTCAATATTATGTACAAAGTAGGTTGAATCACTTTCCTGGATGGCGTTTTCTCAAGGTTGGGTGAAATTATCTTTCTAGAAATTTTCTACTCTGGTTATCTGTCAAATTGGATAAATCCATTCCGTGGAGTGATCCTTTCTGTCTTTCGTTTTATAACATTTATGGTTTCCAGGATACTTAGCTTGTTTGGAATCACTTTTTAAATGGACTTTTGGATGTAAAAGTTCATTTCAAGAATAATATATATTTGTTGGTTAATTAAGAATGGACTTTTGGAGACCTAAAGGTCAATTATAAAGTGTAAGGAATAGAGATGTTTGGAGAAGTCCTTTCTACAAATGTCCATTTTCCATATGGACTTTCGCAAAAGTGCTCCCAAACAAGCACTTCAGTTTTCTTAATTTTCTTATGAGGTTGCATTGGGTGATTATTTGAAGGTAATTCTTTCTGATGCAAATGTTCCTGGTGAGGGCGAGCACAAAATAATGTCCTATATCCGTTTACAACGCAACCTTCCTGGTTTTGATCCAAATACCAGGCACTGTCTGTATGGTCTGGTGAGCATTAGAAAATTCGTGGAACCTTCTATGAAGTCTTTAGTTCCTGACTGCCTGTCTTTTTTCTCTTACCCTGTAAATATATTTAATTTGTGGGTTTGGGTTGTGCATTTGGATTACGATTTTTTAAACATTGAATTCATATATTTTACATAGGATGCCGACCTGATCATGCTTTCACTGGCCACACATGAAGTTCACTTCTCAATACTGAGGGAGGTTAGTCACTTTCATAAACTCAAGAAGGAACTATACTCTCCTAGTAGAAATAAAAGGTATCCATTTTGACGATTCTATTGTGTTGCAGGTTATCAATCCTCCCGGGCAGCAGGAAAAGTGTTTCCTCTGTGGTCAAGTTGGTCATTTCGCTGCTGACTGTCGTGGGAATGATTGTGATCAAGAAGCTAGTGGGAAGCTTTTAGATGATACCCCAATTTATAAGAAGAAGTATCAGGTTGAATGTTACAAACAATATCTGATGATTTAGTGACCGGCTCTTGCCTGCTCTTACTGTCATGCTGTTATCTTCAGTTCCATCCTTGTTAACGATTCTTCTGATGTTTTTATATATGTTGCCAGTTTCTCAACATCTGGGTTTTGCGAGAATATTTGGGGTATGAAATGGATATCCCAAACCCACCATTTGAAATTGAGTTTGAGAAGCTGGTGGATGACTTTGTATTTCTGTGTTTTTTTGTCGGCAATGACTTTCTTCCTCATATGCCCACTCTGGAAATTAGAGAGGTATGCAGCCGTAGAATCAGTTGAACCTGATAATCATTTTTTCCTCCATGGAAAATATGCAATTATATATTGAGATAAATTGTTTAAAAAACTCTTGTATCTATTATTAAATGATCGTGTTCATGTTCCATATTAATGTACATGCCTTTATCTTTCAAATATTAAAGTTCTCGTTTTCACCTTTTTAATGCTGTAGGGTGCTATAAATTTGCTCATGTCTGTGTATAGAAAGGAATTCACAGCAATGGGTGGGTATCTTACTGATGCTGGTGAGGTAATATTTATCTCTTCCATAGAAATTAAACTTATGTTTAGATGTCATTCTGATTTTGGGTAGTCCATATTGCTGTAGGTATTGCATTTGAAAGTTAGCACGTACTGAAAAGCTTTCCTTCAAGTGATGATCTCATTGATTTTTTAGTTTGTTTTCATAGTAACTTTCTTTGGATGCTGTTCTTTGTTATGTTATACGATAGAATACTGGAAAGCATTGGTTTTGCTTTATGGTGGGGGGTCGTGGGGCAAAATTCTGGAACTACTAATATATTGCAATATGATGCATAATGGTGTATGGTGAAAGAATTGTTCCATTAAGATATGAGACTCATAACTTTAAAATTATAAATGGTGATGTTTTTTTTTTTTTAGTTTATTTTTTTCTCTAGTTTTGAAGGTTTTTCAATGCTCTTACATCTGTTTACTGGATTTGGATACCTATAGGTATTCTTGGACCGAGTCGAACACTTTGTCCAGGCAGTTGCAGTGCACGAAGATCAAATCTTTAAAAAGAGAACACGCATACAGCAGGTATCCTGTTCGTTCAAACCAATCCCTTCCTCTTGGTTAATGATAGCTGCCTTATAACTCCAGTCAAACTGAATCTTGATGCTACAAATACAGCTACTTCTCCTGCTATTGTTGTTGGATATATATAGGTTTTGTTGCATGGTAGCTTTTTCTATTCATATATATTCTTATGTGTGCTATGATGAGAAACTATGAATTTTTATTGAGAAAGAGTTAAGTTACATTGAACAAAGGGATTCTCTTCCAGATGTTAAAACAAAACAAATCAACTGCAATAGACATCCTCCAAGCTCTAGCTATAGATGTAAAGAGTGCCTAAAACTCCTTGTGGTTTGGAACTCATCATGCATCCCTAAGCATAACTCTATTGCACACCTTCCTAGACTCATCTGTAACTTCAGAAGTACTTCTTTTTTTTTTTTTTTGGCTGTTCTTCATAACCCAACTAAACGTATCATAGCTTGAAATTTGCTTCTAGAATCACTTGATCCTTGATAATGATAAGTTTGCTTTCATTACAAAAATTATAAGTTCACCCATTTAGATTCACTCATAGCTTTCTTATGTTTTGATGGGAAGCAGATTATCTATGAGCTGGTTAACTTGTATTTGAGGTCTTTTCCTGAAAACTTATATAAACTGATGGCGTTATTTTCTTCACATTTTTCAGGCTTATGAGTATAATGAAGAGATGAAACTCAAAGCAAGAGGGGAGGAGAAGCCAGAGCAGCAGACTTTGGCCGTAGACAAGGTGTGCAGCTTATATTCTTCTCTGCAGTAGAATCAACGTGAAATTATTGTGATTGTTAATATCATAGATATGCAGCCTACTCCGATTTTCCTCCCATTATGAGATGGCAATTTGTATTATTAACTACTCTAATAAGTAATAACTACTTTGCTAACGACATACTTAGTAATTGGATTTTATAATCAAAAGGTTTTTGAACTATTAAATAAATCTAAAATATGAAACTTATGTATCAGAAGTTATTACAATGATGTGTGATAGGTTCAGTTATTTTATTAATTTTGTTGCACGGTTGCACCAAATTACACATTCAAGTTCAACTGTCATCATTATCATTTCATATTATTATAGTTGTTTCTTTGGTTGTTCATCATCATCGTTGTTATTATTATCTTAATTGCTATAACGTTGTCGACATCATCAGCACATGTTCTCGGTAATGGCAGAAAAGTCTATTTCCGGTTTTGCAGGACCTGTCCATTTACATGGTTATTCGTTTTTCATTTTCCGAACTGTTTACACTCTCAGGTGAAGTTGGGGGAGCCTGGATATAAGGAAAGATATTATTCTGAGAAATTTTGTGTATCGCAACCAGAGAAGATCGATGAAGTTAGATCGGACGTGGTAAGTACAGAAATCACATAAACAGCATGTCTTATTACCGACATGTGACTTGTCTCTCTGTGTTTGTGAATGACAAACTACCTTATATGTTAACTTTTGCATTTTACAGTTAAGTATTGATTGCTTCATAGACAGGTCCATGTCCACCTTTTTCTGCTGACACATGCATCCTATTATTGACTTTGTGTTAAACTTTTGATGTATGTGAAATGGAAATTTTCAGAAAGTTAATTAGCATATGAACACCCAAATCAAAGTATGTTGTGCTTACTCCTGGAACTGGTAAACGAGCTGTTAGTAACCAATGTTTTTGTTTGTTTTTCCCTGATTTAGTTGGGAGGATTGGGAAAGGAAGAGATATTAATTGAAAGCCTCAGGGTTCCATTAATATGTTCTTTACTCATACAATAAGGTCTTTATATAACTACACCAAAACTTGGATGGTGTCTATGCCAGTAATGTTAGTTATTTCTGTTACCAATACATATACAGAATTTACATAATTTGATGAAAAGACGCCAAAATCACCTTTTACAATTTCCTTCATTCCAGAATTTTCTTATTTATTGCATGCACACTTGTATCACATGCACAAGAAGTGTAATCATGTTTGTTGATTTTTCTATGCGCATCAGCCATCGTGATTTCTTATGTTCGGCTGATGTGGCACTTTACAGTTGCCTTAACAGAAAAGGAGGATAAATGATGAATTTTATTGCAGGTGTTGAAGTATGTGGAAGGCTTGTGTTGGGTTTGTCGCTATTACTACCAGGGTGTTTGCTCATGGCAATGGTTTGTTGATATATTTCCTCCACAGAAGAAAAATATTTCATTTGCTGACCATTGCATTATTGGTGAATGTGGATTCTGATACTGGGATGTACAGTTTATTGAATATCTTCGACTTGTATTCATGTAATGGTTGATTAGCAGGAACCACATGTTAATGTGCAATTGTGTTAACTAGAGGAAATCAGTGCAAGGCGTTTGGTGTCTTTATGAATCAAGTAGAAACTAAAAACTAAAGAAATAAAAATCTGCTTTATTAATCCTTATTACTCCCTGACATATAATACATGCAAATCAAATTGAAACCTTGAAAGTTGTGCTGTATTGATTACATGGAGAACTTTTTTGGTTTGAATCTTGTACCTGTGCACTTACATTTTGAAGTAAACAATAGCTAATAGCTGCTTCTTTGATCATGCAGCTTATAATGTCATGTTTTTGTCCAGGTACTATTCGTATCATTATGCTCCCTTTGCATCAGATCTCAAGGGCTTAGCTGATTTAGAAATAACTTTTTTCCCTGGGGAGCCATTTAAACCCTTTGATCAGCTACTAGGAACCCTACCTGCTGCAAGGTACTTGATTTTTTTTTTCATCTTAGTTCCAGCTGATTTCTTCAGAGTTTCTATGCATTTACTTAGCTCTTTCCTTTCACAGTTCTGCTGCTCTTCCCGAAAGATACAGAGAGTTGATGACTGATCCTGCATCACCAATTTTTCATTTCTATCCAACTGGTATTCTCAATTGTTTGTTGAAGCTTGCATATTTTCCTGTTGATTTTCTAGACATAATTTTAGTTCCCTTCTCTTACTAGATTTTGAAATAGACATGAATGGAAAGCGGTTTGCTTGGCAGGTAACTATATTTTCACTTAGATGATTCATGACATTTAAATATAATTTGACAATTGAAAATCACCTCACCAACAGGGTGTGGCCAAATTGCCTTTCATTGACGAGAAGAAGTTGCTTACCGAGACAAAGAGGCTTGAGGATACCTTGACGGTAAGAAAGATGCATATTCCTGTAATTGTACTCCTCCCACATAACTATCATAAATAGCTGTTTGCCTATTACTGTTTGGATGTGCTATGTTGACCTATAATTGGGATTAGAGCATTGTACCAAATAAAGGTAATGTGTGACCCTTTCATACGAAACGGTGAAGCAGTAACTTTAAAGGTTCAAGTTATTCTTTTCCTAAATTTAGGATACTACGACAAGAACAACTGCTTTCTTTGACATCATAGCCCTTTACTTCCTTGGACATCTGAGACTGAATGTAGTAAATCTTATATTCAAAGACAGAAAGTAAAGAGTTCTATTGTCGAACAAATGCCTGTTGCACTATTGCTTCGCAAATGGACAATGTAGAAAAAGATGGACATGGTTCTCCTTGCAATTCCCACATGTCGCAAAACTTTGTAATTAGGCCTTGGTCATGATAAGTTTAGTTTAGCCATAATAAGTTTACTTTTATGACATATTGAACATTTAATCCACCATCATTTCCTCGAAGATTTTTTTCCTTTTTGCTTTCAGCATTTTGTCTCTTACAAGGTCAATATTTGGTATAAAGTACAAAAAAAGCTGATTGTCTCAAACTGGTGCTTGTAGAAATTATTTTTGACATAAAAGATGAAAAACCATATGCTGTAAATGAATTTCTTTGGTTGCGTTGAATTTTTTTTAGTGTATTGATTTGTTGTTTTGTTTGTGCATGTTTATGACTTTTAACAGGAGGAAGAGCAATTCCGAAATAGTTTCATGTTCGATTTGCTCTATGTGTCTCCTCATCATGCTTTGGCTCCTCAAATTTATCTTTACTATCGTCTTTGTAATGGTAAAAATTTACTGTGGGCAATTGACACCTATGCGAGGTTAAGTTATTTATATTAATCTATTTTGTATTTTATGAATTTTACTTTTCACTTTTAGCTGTTTTTACTGATTATTTGTTGTGTTCTATTTTTGGCTGTTTCAGTGGTGGGATGAATGGATTCATGTGGTTGACCAGGAGAAATGGCTTGAAACCAGTGATACCTTCTCCAGTCAACGGATTGGAAGACATCATGAACAATCAAGTTCTGTAAGTTAATTGACTTGCACACTGAAGTTTTGAAATATCCAACTGAAAGGAATGAGATTATCCACCTTTTGCAGAAATATCACGTATTTTAATCCAGCCCCACATGCTCACATTCCGAAGCCCCCTGAAGGTGTAAATATGCCTGATAAGGTAATGTGAAATTCCTGGATTTGATATTTTTTTTCGTGAAATTGTGGCTACTCATTTTGCAAATTGTTGGAGATATATCTATATTACTGGGGAAGGGAAAAAATTGTTTGCTAGATCTGAAGTCATGAAAATACTTAAAATCTTATATCCAAAGAAAAGAAATCGAGTCATAAACTCTTCTTAGAACTCTGCTCTTAGAAAGAGGCATCCAAGTTCGGTAAAATAAATTCTCTTAGATAATAGTAATATTTTGCTTGATCTTTTTCTTCTCCATACCTACCTAGATATTGTGGGCTAGTATCAGAGATGTCCAATTGCAGTATTTAGTTTGTTTTCACTATATTGGTCCTTCCAGATTGCAGAGAGGGTGAAATTGAACAAAAACCTTGAGATTTGAACCGAATTCCAGGAACCTGCTGTGCTGCCTTTTTTTTTTTTT